CCACTGGATGCAATTCATCATTTTGTTCATAAATCCCAAGGGATGCACCCATCTCTCAAATGCTTAGCTCTTACAAAATCCTGAATATATTTTAAATACATTAGTGTCTGATTGCACAAGAGTCTACTTAATAGGCTAGAGACAGAAAAACAAGAACCAACCTTGCAAATAGCTTCCTCGGCAGGCAAGACCTTGCTAATTCATTTTAATAGAGGAAGACCAAGCACACATTGTTCTGTATGTGCATATTACCTACTTTTCCAATGAACAGAAACCATAGAATCACATAGGAAGTCAGTAAGGACACCCAGGTGTCCCCATAATTATGGCTCCTTTTTAAGGAACTAATATTGACCAAGAAGAAAGACTACTGATAATAAAATGTGGTTGAAGATAGCCCATGTAACAGTAATAAGGACAGGCATTTAAAAATTAGGCAATCTCCTACTCTTCAATTTAATGTATAACCAGGGGTATATTGTGACACATAGTGATTAAACAGAACGCTGATAGTATTTAAAGAGAAAGTGGCCTAGTAGCAATTTTTTGGTTAAAAATACAATTTGATGTATGCCAGTAATGACCACCACAAAGTGATATGCTCTTTAGAGAAAGCTTTATCACAACCTGCAGAGAAGGTAGAGAAACTTTCATTACAACCAACCATTCCTTGCTGAGAGGAATCCTTCAAATCAAAAAAGGAAACTTTTCAGAGGTCAACACTATTTCACCTCTGCAGTATTTATTTAACAGCTCAAATCACAGAGAAAATCCAGAATCAATCTGCCTTGTCTGCTGCAAACTGGCACACTTACTTATTAAAAAAGAAAATGGAGGCCTCCATGGTGAGAAATAAAAAATAAATCACACAGTGACATCAAACCAATATATGGAACCCAGAGGTAACTAGAAAAGGTCAGCTGTGCTCAACTATTTCATTTATACATGTCTGCATATTGCTGCTGCATTGTTACCCGCTTAAAGAAAAACAATTAACCGATGCTATTTTATAGCATGTCCTACAGGGAAAATCTTCCTTACGTGAATTTTCAACACTTTAAATGAGAGGCTATAGGAACCATGGGAGAAATAATTTTGGTGGAGGAAAAATCAACCCAGCCGGCAGTTTAAAATTGAAAGAGGAAAATGCAAATAGATATGTGAAATAATTCCAAGTGTAAGAGTCAAAGAAAATTAAAATAGTTTCATATAAGATATATTTTCAGTCTAAAACTGGAATGTTGTATATTGTTATACATTATTTCCACTTCTAAAACAGTTTGAATTTCTTAGCTGGGTGTACTTTACGTGTAAAGATACTGCAGATTTTTAACTTTCCATTATTTTATTGTCTTGTTTTATGTTTTTATATTGTTGTAAACTGCTGTGATATATTTTTTAAGATACAGTAGTACATATAGATCTATATATAAATATATAGATCACAAATCCCTTGAATCAGTAAAAATGTGTCAATCCCAAACCCAAGAAGGCTATTTCTGCCTGTACAGTAACCAACTGTATTATTTTTGGTGCCTGTTTGAAACTTTTGTTAAGGCAAGCATATCCAAACATGTTGACATGTTTCATTCTCTTTTTAGTTTACTTCTCTTTTCAATTGTTTCTAAAATGTTTTAATAACTCAATTTTAACTATGTTAGTCATTATTATAATATTTCTTGTAAATCACATATAGGTTCTGTTGCAGTCAAGCAGTATATAAATTTTGCTAAAAAATAAGTAATGAAGTTTTTGCTCAGCCCAAAAGTTGTGGACCCAGGCACACTGAGCCCATGGCCAGCAGAGCAGCCAAGACACAGATATAATAATCATTAGGATACCCTCTTGAGATTTGAACAGGCCCTAGCCTTTTGATAACAGATGTCAGTAGATTTTGGCATAGGCATTGGGAGTGAATCCTGACTCAACCAACCCGGCTACTGGTTGATTGTTTGGCAGGGTGGATTCTGGGTTATGGATCACCCTATGGTATACAGGCTTCCTCAACCTTGGCTCTCCAGATGTTTTCGGCCTACAACTCCCATGATCCCTGGCTAGCAGGACCAGTGGTCATGGATGATGGGAACTGTAGTCTCAAAACACCTGGAGGGCCGAGGTTGAGGAAGCCTGTTATACAGCAAATCAGGGCAACCATCCAAGATCACAATTTTAGGTGGAGTGCTATGGCCCATCAGCCCTTATCTGGGCATCAGACCTCTTCTTGGACCCTGATTCCTTGGAGTGGAGGGCATAGGGTTCCTGAGCTTCCCCCCATCAGCCACCTGAGCCATCTCACCACCAAATGGTATATTAATTTTGCTAAAAACAATAAGTAAGTAAATTTTAAAAAATGCTGTAACAGTTTTCGTCCTCAGAAAATTTTGAAGACTGCAGTTCCCATAAAAATAATTACACTTTACCTCAGTGTTTGACCTTGTGAGAGCTTGCACTTAGTGACAGAATAAAATCCAAACAACCCTAGTTCAAAGACTTAAGCTTATGATGGCTTTTCCAAGTATTCCACGGGATCTGCCATTCTCTATTAACAAATTCGTGCCTGGTGGTAAGTTTCCACCAGTTTGCTTAAGAAAAGGGAAGTATATCAGCTGGTTGTCTTTATCTTCTAAATAAAAATTTGAAGGGGGTTTTACGAAATGAGAATCCAACATGTAAGTTTTGTTGAGCTGAACCATATGAATTTCTTCAATATTTTCTTGCACCCTCAGAAAGTGCCGTTCCTGTGTGTGTGTGTGTAGTATTTTGCAACAATTCAATGAAAATGTTGGAGGTATATTATGGAATACTAAACAAAATCAAGAAACTGTTGTTCAGCAGTGTCAGGGGCTCAGGAGCAGAGGCGCAGGGGAGAGAGGAAATGGAGAGCGAAGGGGAAGAATCTGAGGGCAGCGGAGGGCAGAATGACAGTGACCCGAGAGATTCCATAAGCCTCTCCAGTGAATCAGAAGATTCCCAGAAGGGGGCGCCGATGGCCAGGGCAAGGGGGGACACACCAGAAGCAGGGGGGCAGCGGAGACTCCCAAAGCAGTAGCTGGAAATCAGGACCAGCTTCCCCACCGGAGCGTAGTGGGGGGGAAAAAACCCATAGGTCAGAGTCAGCGTCTCCTCTGGCAAGCAGGGAGGAGGAGTCAGACCCAGCTAGCATCCCCGAAGAGGGAAGCAGTGACAGGAGCAGTATAACGGTCAGAAGGAAGGTGGCAGGCTGGGCGCGCGCGCCAAGTTCAAATGTACAGGCGCGCGGGACAGCAGAAAACCCGGATTGGGAACCAGGTCCTAAAGCTCGCCGGAGGGAGGGGGAAGACTCAGGGGACTCAGCGTCAGAAGAGTCTAGGAAGGGCAAGACCTCGGCGGACAAGCGGACCCAGAGGAGGAGGGAGCAGAGGAAGAGGTGGAGCAAGGCTAGGGTCTTAAACTGGTGTCTGGGGGGAGGAGACTCAGACGGAGCTTCGGCGGTCTAGGGTTTAAGACGTAGAGCTGCGCGCCGTGGCTGTTAAAGAGAAACTGAACTTCAATAAAGACTATTTTATATAACAACGGACTGGCGTTGGTCCTCTGTGAGCTGGGACCTGAGGCAGCTCTGACAAGCAGTAAAAGCTTTTTAAAATCCAGGTGTTTGTTCCATCACTGCTCAGCAAGGTGAAACAATGAAGTGTGTGTAATGTGCCTTTATATACATTCATTGACTTCACCATGTAGCCAAATTTGATTGGTTATATCGGCTTGTGGTAACAGCATACTTGCTTGAACTCATTGGAGACACAGCAATAATTTTTAAAAATCACTGAAGCAGCAGCCTTTTGAGGAACAATAGCTGTGAATAAGCACAAAAATGCTGACCTTTTGTGGCCTTTGAAATAATAAAAAACCATGAAAAATAAATTAGCCCAGCAACTGACACAACATCCAGCCACACAGAATTTGTGATGGGCAAGCACAAAAGTCATGAAACAAAAACCAATCATGCGCTGTGAACATTACTGGCTAACACTTAGGAATAATTACTAACCATCCCTTTGCTACCTTCCCCGCACCAAGGGGGGAAAGCTTTGAGGACAAGTGAAGGTAGTAGCAAGTAGAAGAGGTCCTGTGTGCTTCTCTGTCCCCTGGAAAATCATGTGTGTAGAATATTTTTCTGCCGGGGTAATAATGAGGCTGGGGCTTGTAGTCAATTCCCATCATTCCTAGTGTCAAAAGAGCTTCTAATTTCTTTTCTAGTTAGAAAATCTCAATGTAACTTCTTATAAAGGTAAATGATGTAAGTAAATTGTTCAATGAAGCATCTAATATATTGAGTATGCCTAAGAGTGTAAACTAAATTCAGGAAAGTTAATATCACTTGTGGGTCCCCAGTCTTCCACAAACCACTATTAAATAAAACTTGTACACTAGCAAGAAGAAACATTTATTATTGTCATTATTTATTGGTCACTTTTTGCCATGGCAACTCAAAGTGACTTACAATATTTTAAGCAAAACCCATGCCCCAACTGCAACATGTGAGGTTACAGGGAACCAGGCAGAGGGCCTTCTCAGTAGTGGCGTCTGCCCTGTGGAACGCCCTCCCATCAGATGTCAATAATAAACAGTCATATGACTTTTAGAAGACATCTGAAGGCAACCCTGTTTAGGGAATTTTTTAATGTTTGATGTTTTATTCTGTTTTTAATCTGTTGGGAACCGCTCAGAATGGCTGGGGAAACCCAGCAGGATGGGCGGAGTATAAATAATAATTTATTATATCATCATCATCAAGCTATGGACCTGCTCCTTCAGTGAGAGTATAACTCTCTCAAGAGCAGGTCTAAGGAACCACCCACTAAGAGTGCCTCAGCCCTATCAGGATTGAGCTTATTGGCTGTCATCCAGTCCATTACTGAAGTAAGACAGCAGTCCAGCATATCCATTGCCCACATCTGCAGATGTAAAGGAGCATATTGCTGAGAATAAAATTCCACATGAGCCCACTCTGTGGTTTCTTGCAGATGTCAAACAGCATGGGGATAAAATGGAAACCTGCAGAAGCCCACATTGAAGGCTCCCTGGGCCGAACACCACTCCCCAAGCATCACCCTCTGAAAGAGACCATCCATGTAGGACTGTAAGTATATTGCTAAACGTAGTAATTTTAGCCAATTTTAATGACAGTGTTGGCCCCACAATATAATAAAATGAAGCTACTAGCTTTAGTTGGCACCATGGGGGGGGATAGGATCCCCCCCAAGTATTGGCCCTAGTGGGGGTTGGCAAGTGGAAAATGCCATTTGGGCTCCAATTCAAGCATCAGAAAAGCTTGAGCTGGACCTGTAAAGATGAGTGAATGAAAAAGAAATAAAATATTTGTTAAACTTTGGTTAAATACACAAGTTAATATGATGAAGTAATCAGTATCCTCCATCAAAAGTATTATCATCATCAAAAGGCTGGTCTGTAGCAAACACTTTTGCTTTCCTGTAGATTACTGCATTCATTGTTGAATAGAAGTTTTTTTTTTAAAGCACTGCTCTTATTCTGAAAAGAAATAAATCTCAGCATGTCATCAAATACAGGTAACTCTTAGGTAACTAGTAAAGGTCAAATGTTTCAAACATGTCTGCTTTACTGTTTCCCGCTTAAGGGAGGGAATTAGTTATATGGTGCCATACCCTGTTGAACACAGGTATTACTTTAATGCACTCGCTGTCTGCTTTACAGTGTGATACTCTATCCAAAAATAATCAAATAGCCAGTTTTTATTACTATTTCAATTATCAGAGAATAACTTCCTGTTGCTACATGGCTTACATATTCTGGACCACCTTATCACACACAGGTTCAAGGAAATTCATGTCTAATTATAAAATGTGCTAAAATAAGCACATGCACTAGAACACAAACTACATACTGATTAAGTTTATCAGAACAGCTGCAATTTTGTAAATTACAGTGCTATGCAGACTAGCATAGTATAAAAACTTTTAATAGAAAATTACCAACAAATGGAGCTCAGTTATTTAATTCTTCTTCTTAGAAAAAAACCAAAACCAAAATAACTATATAAAGCTCTGGACAAGATTTCTTTTCTGGTATTCTAGCCAGCACAGATGTTTTCATATCACGGTTTGATGCTTACTCAATTTTTCACATAGGGGCTCCCACTTAAAACTAATAAACCTGTTAAGACATCTATAAATTCTCACAAAAAGCCATTACAAGGGTTCCATAAATATAAACTTAGTGGCATAGTTCTGGGATTTATACCATGCATTTCTCACTTTCCAAAAAGCAAAACAAAAAAACCCCTCCAAATAAACAAGCATGCACAAAACTGCTTTAATAACCTCTTGAAATCAGATAATATTCTGACAATTCAGTTTCAGTGACAAAAGGAGCCTGGGCAGAAGCCAAGAGGCCCAGGTGCATTGTGTCATGCCAGTATTTAATGTAGTCTAATATCAGATAGATGCTAGTAGAGAAAATACTCAGAATAAAGTACAGATAATAGCATGGACAACCACTCATTGCAAAATTACTTTTGCTCATCATGCTGTGCGCTTTGTATTAAATTTTTCTGTCAAGTGGCAGGAATCACAGGGAGAAGTGGCTTGAAAACCCCTTCTTGTAACCCTCGATAAGTATCTATAATATTAGGCTTTCATATGATAATGGCAAATGATGCCCCTCTTTGAAAAATTTCTGACTGGTAATGAAAGTCCTAATCAGATTGTTGTTGTTGAGAACCAGGAGGTGGGGGGATGATGCCACTGCTGCTGGCAACCCCTCCTCTTTAGTGAATTTAGAAAACTTGACAAGATGGGTAAATCTTACATGAATTTCCAACAAAGCCCTTTGGTTGTTTTATAAAACTGAAAGGTGGTGGTTTAATAAAAGCTGGCCCTCCTGAGGCATTTTCATTAAAGGCTCTCTCTAGACAACATCACAATGTTTGCATTATCCTTCTATACTCCCCAGAGAATACAAGCATTACCTTTTCAGCAGGAGTCGATATTGTGTGTGAAGGCATGAGAGGAGATGATTAGATTCTGCCTTTTGGTGCACAAAGTAACCTCTTGGAACAATACTATGGTTAGGATTAAAATTCAACGATTTTGCTGCCTGCTATTTTAATGCTAAATTGTTTCTGTGGTGGGAAAAATTACACTACGGAGGATTTATTTTAATGAAGATTTTAATCTCATGCATGTATTATTTTCCACTATTGTACCCATTTGCAGTCTTCTCTCAAAAAAATAGTGACAGTTAATGGCTGATTAGGGTATTAGAGAAAACAAATGCACTTTTAATGTATGTGTGTACAGGAGAATTCAGGACAGACTGAAAACAGAAATGATGGTTACGATAGGCTATGCTGAATATGTATAGCATCAGGAAACGCCAGCTACTTTTCACTTAATGTAACTTACTGTAAGCTTTGCAAAAATACAGTATTTGCACTAGAAGTGTGCACATCTGAACATAGTGTTTACCATCTGTGTAGACTTCTCTTCGTAGATGTCCTTGCTGGTGCTTTTGCTTTTTGACAGGTCGTACCTTCTGAATTACAGCAGCACTCATGTTGCTGTCAGTAGAGACAGGGCTAGTGGGTCTGGGGCAGTGCGAGGCATGGTAATGTCTACGACCTGGAAACAAAGAGGCACACAATGTTATAATTTGTTACTTTATCTCTGAAACTAGAATAGTCTTTCGATTCTGTAAATAAAAATATAATTATATAATTAGCATTATTTAGATTCAATGTCACATTAATATAAACATGCAAGGCCTTTTTTTTATACAGAACTTTTACAGAGCAAAACACATTTAAATTGATAGGAACAGCACCAAGATAAACATTGTACTATTTAACATTTATATATCATTTTCAAATGTTGAAATGATTTCACATGCATTATCGATTGCAGTCCTTTCAACAACCCTCCAAGGTAAATCAGATTATAATAACTCATAACATTCTTAAGGCACCTCATATTGGACAATTGTCACATTCCCTGAAACCTGTATATACCGTATTTTTCGCTCCATACCATAGGGCGCACCTAGGTTGTTTTTTTTTGGGGGGGGTAATTTTTTTATTCCCCCCCCCCAGCCCCAAAGAGCAAAGAAGCCAAGACAGTCAGCGGGATCCATCCCGCTGGCTGTCTTGGCTTCCTCTTTAGCCGCCAACAACCTCTCCAGCCCGGAGAGGCCGAGCGCGGCTTTGGCAGAAGCCAAGACAGAAAGCGGGATGGATCCCGCTCGCTGTCTTGGCTTCCTTTTTAGCTGCGGGGCTAGGGCGGGTGAAGCCCGAACTTCCTCCGACCCCAGCCCCCAGAACGGGTCTGGGAGTGAAGGTGAAGTTGCGCGCAACCTTGCCGTCGCTCCTGGAGCTTGCCGGGCTGGGGGTGGGGGAAGCCTGAGCTTCCCCCGACCCCAGAACGGGTCCAGGAGCGCTTCGCTCCCGGAGCTTGCTGCTATCCGCAAGCCTGAGCCCGGCGGGAACTCCCGCTGGGCTCCGAAGGCTTGCGGATAGCTGCCCAAAGCCCGGGGTGCGCAGCGCTGCTCTCCCCGGGCTTCGGGCTACAGGCTGCTATCCGCAAGCCTTCTGAGCCCAGCGGGAACTCCCGCCGCGCTCCGAAGGCTTCCTGAAGCCTGAAGAGCGAGAGGGGTCAGTGCGCACCGACCCCTCTCGCTCTCCAGGCTTCAATGAAAGCCTGCATTCGCTCCATAGGACACACACACATTTTCCCTTCATTTTTGGAGGGGAAAAGGTGCGTCCTATAGAGTGAAAAATACGGTACCATCAAAGAAAACCCTCCCTGTGCCTGCCCGGTTCTTCCACTTGATCTTCCACCTGATCTTCACCAACTCTAAGTTTCAGTACTTGTCACTAGGGAACCACTGAAATTGTTGCCACCCCAATGAAGCTTTTGTTGATATATTTGTTATCGTCCCAAGGCTTAGGATTTCTTTGCTGCTGCTACTTAAAGTGTCACCAACAATTACCATAGTTTTGAATTGCTAAGACAGTTTGGAATGTATTTACTTTTTGGCACAAAATAGAAATGCAGTGGTTTTTACCATTGAAAAAAGCTAGAGAGAAAATGTTATAAATACTGTAGCATGTTCTTTCTTGTGGGTGGTTAGATTCATCACATTTTTATTTCACCTCTCATCTAAGTTGCTTTCATGATAAAAGCAACTTGACAAGGCACCAGAGAATCAGGGGGGAAACCAGAGTGTGGGGAAAGACTTGCAGGAGGCAGACAAGGTAACCCATAGCAAATTTACACTTGTGCTTCAACATGAAGGTGTCCCTCTTTGTACACCAGAGGACTCACATAGGCGAGAAATGCTATGACTGTCTATATTGTGGGAAAAGGTTGTTTAGATGTTTCCAGCTTAAAAGGTTAGAAGGTTTCCTCACTACACATATCTTTTTTCTTTCTTTTTATTTGCTAAGTATTGGAAAACACAACTGCGGACTATCCCATTGAGGAGACTGCTTAGATTGCAAAAGAGAGCCTAAAAAATCTAAAACTATATACCTTAACTTTGGCTTTATAGTTTTACCTTTGTTATCAAAAGTGTACACCAGGCCATGCCTTATTTATTGTTTAGCAGTAGATCATGTCAATAAATAAAGTTTTTCTGGATTTTTCCCATAGATTTTTGTATGGTTTTTATTGTAACGTGTTGCTCTTCTTCTGATTTTGTGTTATGCTTTTAAAGTTTTCTTAAGTAGCTTAAGAGAATCTTTACATGGCAAGTGACTAATAAATTAAATTAATTGTCATCATTATCATCATCGTCTCATAGAGGCCCTTATGAGGTCCACCATTTTATCCTAACTCAGCTATGAGGTTGGTGGTAATAACAATAACAATTACTACTTCTTCTTCTTCTTCTTCTTCTTCTTCTTATTATTATTATTATTATTATTATTATTATTATTATTATTTGTACTCCACCCATCTGACTGGGTTGCCCCAGCCACTAGCTAGGAGAAAGCAACTTCCTGAGTTTTATGGCTGATCAAGAAGGGTAACATAGTCCAAGTCCAACACTGTAACTACTTTAGTTGTACATCATAGAAAGAAATGCCTTGCAAAGTACATGCACTAT